CACTAATATATCACAAAAATCGCCGCTAATATAACGCAGTGTCTCGACTTTTCCCGCCATTGGCGAGCTGCGTCGAGGATTGTGCAAGTATTAATTTATCCGTACACCCTTTCTCAAAGTTGTTCAACATAGCAACCGCGTGGACAGCACGACCACAGCATAGACCGTATACAGTCTCTAATGACCAAGTGGTAAAGACGTAATACGCAGTCGACGCATAGTCGGTGCAACCCTGGGCATGAAATCCAGTCTTTAAGGCACAAAGAATCGGGGCAATTGTGAGCAGCGAGCAAACTCAAGCCGATAGCACCGCGTATAAATAAGGAGTGATGTAGATGTAGAAAAAAACGGTCTTCCATCAACAAATTATTCATACACCTTATTAGACATTACCAACAGAGGTGACATACGGTTATTCGATCTTGCGAGAAGTGTAACGCGCGAATATCTCCGAAACGGTTTGGTGAAACTTTTTTCGAGATTTCTACATTTTGTATGAAAAAGATGGACTCGTAATGTATTTATTACTTGTGTGCGTATATTTTTATATATAGCGATCAAACGAACATAAGCTCGGGTATCAAATATTATCTTGCTACGAAAAAGAAGAAGAAATTATTATTTATTCGCTTGTCACTTTTGTGACAAATCTAGAATTATCTAGAATATTAAAAACAGTATTTTTAGTATGTACATGTTTAGTATGTATAATAATTTGGAAAAATTGAAACGTTATTGAAATTTTTTTATATTATTTGCTAAATTTGAAGCTATAACTTTTTACAGTTTTTAAAGATTTTTAAAATGCAAAATACATCAAACTGAAATTACGTAAACTGATAGTGACTTGTTTAGGATTAAAATAGTGAGGAGGCTATAAAGTTTTATGTGATAGCTAAATGTTGCCATTTAACAAATTGTTTTGGAAATTACAAAGGAAACAAATTTTTTTTACATTAGGTGTCTAAAGGGCTTAAAAATTCTTATTCAATCTCATCAAACTCGTATATCAACTTAATTTTCGCGGAACTACTTATATGTTAATTTACTGTTATCTTTCACATTAGTCAGATTTGCACGCTGGATTTGTTATTCATTTAATTCATATCCGTCAGAAATATTCACTTTTAATAATACGAAAAATGTTTATCATTCGTTCAAATATACTTTTTTTCTTGTAATATAATACGCTGTATTCGCAGCTTCCCTGCAAATGCAATCGCATCGTGTTACCCGGGATTTGGGACATTTATTTCGTCATCTCGTTCGATTAATTTCGTCTTTCAACATATTAATCGCATTCCTTTTCGCCTGTCATAAACAGATTCAAATACAGTTCAGGAAACTTAAAAATTACATGCAAAATGTATACGTCAGGCAGTAATTTATTTATTGTAAAATGACACGCGTGAAAATTTGCACGTGCACTTCTGAATGAAAAAGATGATCTTATCAATTAATGTTATCATTGCATTTTAAGCGGATGAACATTAAAGGGTATAATTTACAAAGCCAAGAATATAATAGCGAGGAAAAATGTCAAAACATTGAAATACCAAAACAGGAAACTACAATAATTTATAAATAAGATCAGGTACTTGACATACGAATTATACAACTTACAGAACTAAATGTATAAATACACATTTTAATATATAAAAACAACGATTGTGCGTAATAAAGAAACATCAAGATAGTAACATATGCCCAATAATATAGTTACATTATTTTATTACGGAGAGACGGTTTTATTGTATTATTCAATACTTTATTCGAGTAAACCAAAAGGCTTGCGGATTAATCCAATTTGTAAGGCGCGGAGGATGATATTAATTCAACAAGTTAAAATCCCTTACGCTTAGAAGATATATATATTTTTTTTAACAGTCTCATTAATATGCTATAATGTAATCGATTATGATCCACTTTATGTCACGTCGATGTTCTACGAGTCGAAAATGAAATAAGAAACGATACAACATAAATATTTAGATATGGTCGTTGTTGAATTTGTAACATGTAATCAACCGATCGGAATTTTGGTCCAAAAGAGAACGGCCGTTTCCCGTCACTCGAAAGAAAGAAAAAAAAAATGAAAAGGGAAAAACGCGTAAAACTACGATTAATTTTGTCGAAGAAGCGACGATTGTCTATAGAGCGTCCGCCGATTGTTCGCGTGCACCGTACACTCGATCGCACACGTGCCTATATGATATGCTTTTGTCGTCTCTTTCCACCTCCTTTCAACTCCTCCTTCTATCCCTGTTCTTCAACAGGCACAACAGATATAACGTATATATATATATACGTACAATATCGAAAGAGATGCTCTTTCTTCACCGCTATCGGTGGAGCCGATGTTACAACTCTGTGCTTATTCCGCGCGCGAGGGACAAGAGCACTGTTCCTTCTTCTTCTTTCCTTTTTTTTTTCACTGATATTAGAAACGATATCTCGAATACTGGGCGGGGGGTGGGAGGAGGGGGTGACGGGGAGGAGCTCATGGATTGGTCCCGGGCGATATTCACGGTGGGCAAAGTGATACGGGTCCGCGCCCTCGCCGCATTCACCGCTAAAAGTGGCCGTCCGACTCGCATTCGAGATTCTCAAAATGTCAATAACGTGTCCACATTTTCACCGCTCATTTGGCGCGCCACGTCGTGAAAACGTGGCTACCGAAATTTAGTGCGATGTGTTGTAAAGTTCATGTACAATGTCACAAATTAACCGACCGGGTGATCGAAGGGTGGAAACCAGACGGTCACATTTTGTCGCTGAACATGCGGTGGGAAATCGCGGATCGCAGGATCGGGCAAAACGCATCCAATGCTTAAACGTGCAGTGAACAATAGTCGCATGTACGTTTCACTATGGGGGGGGGGGGGAATGTGAAAATCTACGACGGAGGATGTACCAAAAGATACGGTGCATCTATCGGTATCTCTTTACTATATAAAACGGGCTGCGATGCAGGGATGCAATTTCCACTGTCGTTTATTCGATTTACACGAGTTCCACGAGGATGGCACTAACGATAGAAATAACGTAGGTGCGCGATATAGACGATCAACTGGAAGATAGGACGAGGTTCTTCCATGATGAGTAATCGATTTTTTTTTTTTTTTTTAATTCGAGATAATGCCGGATGATGATATCGACAATGGAAACGTACATATATATATATTTATATAGCCTCAAAGGTAATAAAGTTTACGTCCCCGTTTCTACTGTGCGCAGCATACCCTTTGCCACAATGTATCTTAGATCACCAACTATCTTAAATTTAGAAGCAATGGGTGATGCGATGTTTACGTGAGTCACAAACACGGTGGTCTGGTGGACGGTATAAGACATTCGGCTGCACTCTTGTGGGATATTTTCGTTTTAACATTTGCGTATTAATCGCTGTACTCGGAACGAATATGAAATTAAAGGTAAGATTTGAAAGAAGGAAAAACAGAGAGAAATAAATTTGAAGATATTTCTATGTAAAAATAATATCCACATGACTCGTCGCCGAAATTACTTAGCACGAGAGATATCGTTATCTGAAAAATATATTTATCTGAGATTAAAGATATATTTATCTGATAAACAACTCGAAAATAAATTAAGATGATTATTTTTTCATAATAGATATTTAAGAAGAAGGCAGGAAATATATGGCACGATAAATTATAAAAGTACAAAATTTCATCTTTAGCGGAAATTATAAATTGTGGCGCTCGTTATATCGAAGCACGAGAGGAAAAAAAAAACGATCTAGATAGAATTTCTCGAGAAGAATTTCATCGATTGTGAACGATATATAGTGTCAATACATCGATTCATTCATTTTCTATCGATGAAATATATTATATCTTTTACGAATAGTAAAAAATACAAATTATGAAGCGAAGGAAGGAGGAAAGTTCTCTACTCGCTATACAAGTTCTCCTCGATTTTCTACACAATTTGCTTATTTAAATCAATAGATGGCTCGTGGTATAACCGCCGAGAGATTCTCTCGCATTCACCTCTTCGTCCCGACGGTATATGTATAATGTTATTTGGAATCTGGAATTAAAATCGAAACACAGGAATGGATCGAATCCCTTCTCTCGGGGATGGATCGAATCTTTGTTCCGGTTCTCCGCGCGTTTCTATTAACTCTACATTCCAGATAAATGATAAATATACCCCCTTCGCGGTCGTATATCTGATGGACAGAAGTTGCCGCAAGAAATTTTTTACCGTTTCCGGTTGTACATGTCGAGTCTCAGCCGCCACGCTTCGCTGGCAGTGTTTATTTTTGCCTAGCCGTTGAAAATGGGCAACGGAAGCCATGATGCTTCGATGCAGCGAGGTATCATTTTTTTACGTTTCTTTCACTCTTGCCAAAGCATGCCTAATGGAATTAACGGGATTTTTACAGGACGATCTTTGATTATAGGTGTGTACACGCCGCGTCGTTCGCTCCAAAATAATTCCGACCAGTTGCGAGAGATACCCACGTCTGAGCACGCTACGACCGCAAATGGTTAATCCAAACCTCCGGCTCTCTTGGTCCCGTTGGTTCGTAGGTTACAATTCCTCCGGTCCTCCTCTGCAACCCACCATACGAGAAAAAAAAAGAAAAAGAGACACTAGAGATCGGCCGATTCGGTTAAGATTCACGAAATCGCGAACTCGGCTGATTCTTTCGCTGTTAAGTCAGCTTTTTGTCTGACCTTTTCTCGTCAGTCTCTCCTGACGCACTTTGCGAAAGGCAAAAACGACCCCGATACCATTTATTTTATTGCCAATAAGTTTCCTTGCACGCCATTTTGAAAAAAATATTGAAATTTCTATTTTACGACACGTACATGACGCTATTAAGCATTATCATCGTACGTTTACGAGACTTTGTTATCGGACTGCATTTTATTATACGCGATTTCTATATAAAATGAAAATAAAATAAAGCACTTTAGAGAAGTAAACTATTCAGTAATATAGTATTTGAATCCCGAGCTTTGTTTTATACTTGTTCGTAATTATATTTGTTAATTATGTTCTAAATGCATACATAAGCATGATTGTACGCGCGTTTTTCCCGCAATGTTTCATTTTACATATTTCGTGCATAAGTATCACGCGAAATTTGAACCCGTCAGTTTATACAGGAGATTATTTAGATACAAACAGAAAATGAGCGATTTATAATCAGGATTTCCGTAAATTGTGATTTGCATAAATTTTCAATGATCTTTGTCCGATATTTTAATCCGCAACGTTCGCAATTCGATACGAACAACGATCGATATGAATTTCAAAACGATCAGTAAAATCAACTTTACCTTAAGGCTTTTTCAGATAAGTTATCTATAAGTCCAAGTTAAATTCATCGCGTGATTTAATCCTTCGTGAATAAGGGTAAGGTATAAAAACTTTGCACAAACGAATGTGATAATCTATAAACGAGCGTGTCCTGAATTCAGTTATTTGTCGAATTAAATTTCTCCCAATTAAAAAACTTCCTTAAATTGGTTAGAATCCGGTAAGTGGCCGTAACGTAAAAGAGAAGTCTTTTTAACCTTCGAATCAACGAAAATTAAATCGTGCGCCAATTATAGCGTATATTCGCTATCTTTCCTTCAAGCAAGTGTCGATCGAGTCGACATCTCTCTTTCCTCACCAGGTGGACTAATGAATAATGAGTAAAAAGTCGAGCTCACGAATCGTGCGAAACAAAATCTAAATGACTGAACGCCTTCGAGTTACCTGTTTTCGTGGCGAACGGATCCTTCGGATGATTCGTCTTAATGGCGTTCATTCTCCGGTTCTGCGGTCCTTGGCCGCCGCCGGTGCATCCGACGCCGGGCGTCTGGCCCATGCCGAGGCCGTGGGGCCCAGTGGTAACCGCACCCCCGCTGGACTGCAAGTGTGACATTTGCTGGCCACAGCCCGGGGGCCCGACAGTCCCGGGCCCGCCGGCCACGCCGGGCGGCGCGCCGGGTGCCCTCACACGTGGCTGCTCGACCGGCAATACACGGCGTCTCTTCTTCGGTAGCTTGGCTCGCGCCTGCGTGTGACTGTAATACATCGCAAAGTTGCTAACGATCACGGGCACTGGCAGGGCGATCGTGAGGACACCGGCCAGTGCGCAGAGCGCGCCGACGAACATCCCGATATACGTTTTCGGCACCATGTCCCCGTAACCGACGGTCGTCATCGTCACCAAGGCCCACCACAAACCCGAGGGGTATGCTCTTGAAGTCGTTCTTCGGATTGTACTGGGTGCGCTCCGCGTAGTAGACGAGGCTGGCGAAGATGACGATGCCGAGAACGAGGAAGAACACCAGCAGCGTGAGCTCCTTCGCCGAGGCGCGAAAGGTCTGTATCAGAATCTTCAGGCCCGAGGAGTGGCGCGTCAGCTTGAACAGCCTCATTATCCGTATTATGCTCAAGAACTCGAGGATGTCGGCGTTCTCCAGGTGGGCCGCGAACCGCTGCAGCGCCAAGTCGACGTAGAAACTCAGGGTCGCGACCATGTCGATCAGGTTCACCGAACTCTTGATAAAGTCGCAACGGTTCGGACTCGCGGTAATACGTATCAAGAACTCAAAGGTGAACCAGGCGTTACAGACGCATTCGATGTAAAAGAAGACATCGTGGGCATTGGTGCGTGTCTTGTCCACCACCCAGGACGTTATGTTGTCAGTCTTTACCGAACGATTCACGATCATCGGCACTCGCATGTCCGGATGAGTTTTCAAGCAAAATGAGAGTATCGAAACGCAGATGAAGAAAACGGAGACTATACTGATTATCTGAAAGATAGTCCATAAATACGATCGACTCGTAAATATTACAGAAAACTTTTTACAACAAACATCAGATAGTAAATATATATAAATTTTTTTATAATAAATTTAATAGATGTAGAAATTTGAGGAAAATAAAAAAATATATATTTTTTTAGTTTCAAAAGATTTAATTAATGATTTTTGCATAAGATTATATTTAAATTGATATCGCAATTATTTATGTAAGGATAGCACGTGTCTAAATTTATATCATTCTGTTTAAACTCACAAATCATACCTTAGCTGCGACGGAGGAGTAGGGCTCATCGAAAAGGGACCACATTTGAGGCTTAAGCTTCTGCCACCACGTAAGAGTTCCCTCGTAGTATGCCTCCTCGAAACCAAACTTCCTGGCCAGTTCCTCGTCGGTGGGCTTCTCGGTGTCGAGGTCCAACCTGTCGAGGACCGTCAGCGTTTCCTGCGTATCCCGGTGCTGCAAGGGCGTCGAGGCGAGGGGGATGGTAAGAGAGAGACAGATGCAACAACGATTTGTTATTCGTACCTGCGAAACTCTTTCTCGAGTGTGCTTTCTTTTGTGCTTTGCCTTGGGACAGATAAAGCGCGCGTGAAAAGCATACGCGAGCCGTTGTGCTTCCTCGCAAGTGATAAAGAAATCTGCCCGGCTTTGAGCAGCCTACCGGCGGTATTTGTCCCATGTTGCATATACGTTTACTTGAGTTTATCCCACATCATTCTATCCGAACTAGTTCTCAGATTCTATTTACCAACAATATCTCTTTAGACCACGTACCATTGAATCATACATATTTCCTCTTTTCTCATCAATTTCTGAAGATGATAAGATGATAGAAATCATACAAAAAAAAAAAAAATAATTTTTTTACTAATACTTGATTGTGAAAAAATAAAATTCCCAAAATAAGTTACCCCTATTTATTTCTTTGCTCACTTACAATCTTCAATTTTTCAGTTTTCACTTTTTAATTTTTAATTAGCTTCTTACAAACAGAGGCATGGGATGAGGGTCGAGATCGAATACGTGACTCGACCGCTCTCACACGCGTCATCCCCAATAGCATTATTACCTGTATTTATCTGTTATCTTTTTCTATCATTTTAAATATTATAAATAAATGATCCTGTAGCATGGTCTTCAACAAGAATCAATTTAAATAAAATCGCACATTTTTATAAAATACTAAAGTAGCTTCTAGAAACAACATTAAAATTAATTACCACTGAAAAGAAACATTAATATCTAAGGATACTTAGGTAAATAGACGTCAACATTATGTATGGTAGGCATGGTAAATTTGTGAGCGTGATAATAAGAGGCGTACGGTACTCTTCGGATCGTGTGATAAATCACCGGCAAACGTCTCCGGCATATTTGTTAGATCATTCCGAATCAAAGGGATCACATATATCACAAGCCATGTCTCCATTTGTCATCTTGATCTGAGAAAATGCTGGAAAGCATTACCGGTCCCCTCGCGGGGGGGACAATCCGTATAATTTAATCCTCGTATCTACAACTGTACCGTACGTCACACTCCGCGTGATACATATATAAGTTTGCGCGTCCGATCCGATCCTGATTTTTGGCGTGCAGCCACGCTTAGGCGTGATTAGGCGCGTGCACTGAGTCAGACATAATATTCACGATATACCTGCGTGTAGGTCATCCAACAGCAAGGCTCGACCTGATTCGAGTCGAGCCCCCAGAAATCGAGCTCTTCCTCGAAAAGCGGGCCGCATACATCCGTGGGGTAGTGCAGCTTCCCGGTGCGATAGTAGTTGAGTACCTGGGCGAAGACACCTGGGTGCCTGTCGAAGAAGTACTCGTTGAGGATCGGGTCGTAGTTCGCGAGCGCCTCGGTCAGTCGCGAGAGCCTCGTCGCCGGGATCTTCTTCAGGGTTGCCTTGTACGTCTCGTGCCGGATTCCGCCCACGTTCAGAACCACGCGGTTCTCCGCGTCCATGTTTATCAGGTTCATTTTGGCTCACGGCTCTGCTACCGCCGTCCCCGACTCAAAGAAACCCATGCGATCTGCGAACAATCAACGCTCCCGTCGCGTGATCTAAAATTGGACGGAAAATTGTCGTTTTCCCCATCGCAAAGGCCTTATTGATTTTATCCGGTTAACCTTCCTAAAGTTCAATCGAGGTTGATGCAATTTACGCTCTTTCAAACTGAAGATCAGTTATTAACTTATTTAAAACAGAAATTAACTCTGTACCAATCGATCTTAATTTAAATCTTGTTTAGAGCATGTAACATAATTTCTCGAATAAAAGACGGGCGCTTAAGGGAGGAATTTATGTAACGATATCCGATCCGTACGATTCGATGAAATGTAATAAAGTGTGCAGTTTATGATCTTATTCCGTCCACGTTAAAATCCGTTCGCATGTGCCTTCGGATAGTGCCTAAAAGGATCAAGAGTAGCAGTTATTCTACGCGTAATGATTTTATCGCGATATATCAACCCCCCCCCGGTTTCACTGACCGGTTGCTTTGACATCCCCTGTAATCTCATTTGGATTGCGTAGCGTAGCCGACGGAAAGTGTCATAATGGTGTCATTACCGCTTGAAATCCTGCGTTTTCAAAGACCGACGAATTGGGCCGCACAAATTTGAATACGAAAGCTGCTCTACTTAACATTACTGTCGCGACAATTGTGACATTTGACATTTAATCAAAAGACCCTTATATACCGACCATCATATATGGTTTACGGAATACGCTTTACACAAATACTAACGCTAGAATCGCAGCGGCTCTTTAAGTCTTCTGTCTCTGTGAGGATTGCATTCATCCAACTTTTTCATCTCGTGCTCGCAATGCAGCGAACAAAAAAATGCGGCGTTGTGAGAAGAATAATTCCTGCCAGAAAAATGGTACGTTAAGGCTATTGTCATGTACAAAGATTATATTGTTATAATTAAAATATATAATATTAATCACATTGAAAAATGGTATATAAAAAATATGTAAAAAAAATTACAATAAATTAAATTTTATATAAATTTTATATAAATAAAAAATTTTGAATTACAAAATATTAAAATATTTATTGTTTTTTAAATAGTCGTAAATTTCATTCACTATTTTGCGTTTATAGGTTTTTGTACCAATCTTTTTTTTTTGTTAAGTTATTTATATATAAGCGTCTCTCGGGCAGGACATTTTTAAGTAACCTTCCCTTGACATCAATACGTCTGTACCTATCAATTATGCGCGCTTAATGTATCGATAAACCGGCTAAGAGTGATGTAACATAAAAATGCGTCAAAAATAATATTTCAATTTTAAACCCAATCTAGAAGGACAAGCGTATGTTTACGTTTAGTGTTATATCATTTTAATACGTAATTAAAGAAAAATAAAGTGTTAGTTAATAATCAAAGATAAACAGAAATTTTTGCATCTTATAATGATAAATGATCGCAAATTATATTTTCAACCATAAAGGAATAGTAATTATTATTTATATATATATATACATATATATATATACTAATATTAATAATAATTATTAATATGAAATTTATTTTTCAATTTAAGCAGCGTATTCTTTTATTTTTCTTTTTATTTAAATTCCGCTACATTACGTGAAATAGTCAAGAAAAACATCTAAAAACATCTGTATTCTGAAACGTTTGTTGGTATAATGTTTTACCGCGTAAAAAGCGGATCGCGTATAAAGAAAGCACCGTGTGAAATCAAAGGGACAGGTGTATCGGCTTTTCAATCCCGCTGTCGCTTTGTATGCCGACTGTGCAAAGTTAGAACAGCTATAAAGGCTAACAATGTGGCTCGCGACTGTTTCTGACGAGAGTTCGAGCCGTCCGATTATCAAATCACGCGCTCGGGATGCGTCACGACGAACGGACCACCTGCCAGATACAAAGATACACAGATTGGATTCCGCGGCGTGCGTTGTCAGGCGATGCGGATCGTCGTCGTCGTCGAGCGAGGTCGACGTGCCTGAGTCCTCGAATTAGCGCGCATGGACGCGATTCTAAATCAACCCTGATCGCCAGCCGCCACCGCCGGCGGAGGGGATGGCGGCGGTGGCGGCGGCGGGAAGCGACGTCTAGCAACGACGAAATCCGATCGAATCTTCGAGGTCGGGGCGCATTCCCGTGACGTCATCCGCACGTATTTTCGCACGTGCACGAGCGAGAGCGGCACTTCGGATGATCGACCGTAAGGGCGATCTCTCGTGAGGGCGCGTTCCTTGTTTCTTACGCAGGCGAGCCGTCAACGAGGCGTTTGTCCATGGCCGAGCTGGCCGAATTAGCATCGGGAACGACGGCGACGATGGCGGTGGCGGCGTCAGGCGGCGTCGGCCAGCCCGTTGTGTCGCGCGAGGAGAATCGATAGTCCGCGTGCACGAAAGGCCGATATTGCGCCCCATACGCGCGCCGACTTTACCACCCGCGGCTTCGTTTCGAGCACTCGCTTCCGCGAATACTCCGACACGCGGGAACGGGAACGGGAATGGGAACGGGAACGAGGGACCGAGGGGATCCCGGCGAGGGGATCGCTCTGGCCGGATCTCGGCACTCGACGAAACTCGGCGAAACGCGATCGAGCCGGCGTAACGGGGCAAACGGGATCGATCGATCGAAAGGGAGACGGGCAATTCGAGAAATCAATGAACGTCGGACGATCGAACGAATGTTCAGAATACTGTACGGAGTAGGTCAGGCGAATCGACTCGCGATTTCAACGAGGCTGGAGCGCTTCTACAGTAACGTGAACGACCGCGCCGAAAACTGACGAATGATTTGCAAGCCCGCAATCGCGGACTTCATCGGCGATACGACGAGATAATTCACAAAGTCACATCCCCAAAGCTCCAAAAGCTTAATCGTATTCATGCCCCGAACACTCGTGGGGTTGGCGCGTGTTCATACCTCTTCCCCCCCCCCGCTCCCCTCCGTAAGCATCCCAAAGGGATGCCCCTCGTGATCGACACGTTTCCACTTGAACACGCAAGCGTCTATTCCCTCGACCCTCGTCACTGTGTGTCGCAACCCTCCTGACACACGTCTTCCCCTCGGAACTGAACAAAATACCCACCCTCGGTCGCGCTTTCTTCATGTCTCGGAGATCTTCCACGGCATCTCGACGGTACTGATCCAGTACTCCGCGTACTCCATGTCGTCGGACTGCGACGATGGTGATGGCGCTCCGCGAAAATATACCGGGTTGACGGGGTGGTCTCGCACTATGTTGTCCCGTGTGCCACGTCCTATGCTCGCACGAGCACGAGTCTC